TGCAGTGTGAATCCAGCATAATCTACGTAGCCTTGTGTTTAGGCCTTTAGGCAATCGAGGTTATCGATAGTCGCTATCGATAGTTTTCCATCTTTATTACGCGCACACTATAGGTTTGTTCGCGTCGCACGCTCCAATATGCTCCTTTTCATTCCAACGCGCTCCAATACGTTCACGTCACCGGAACCAATATGGCGACTAGATGTTTGCGTCGCGTAGAGCATACTCCATGGATCAATTAAGAGCACGCTCCATTTGCCTCACCTCAGAAGGTGGTGCGGTTGGGGTATGTTACGCACGCATGCGTAATGATTGAGAATGTGTAGTGTTGAGAGTATTTATGGTTCAGTAACGTTTTCTAACCCTGTTCGTTAATACTCACTCTCTATTTCGTCGTCTTCCTCAATAAAATCATAAGCAAAAAGTAAAAAATTTTCGAGGAAATTATCATTAATTTCATTAATAATTCCAAAACGGAAATCTCTCAAAAAATTTCTGAAATCCATTTCAGAGGTAATAATGCAAATGGCTGGTAATTGATTCCTACGTCCTGCATACGATCGGTGAAACTATTCGTATAGCTATAGAACAACAGGACGCTTGTCCCAAGTTGTCCCAATCCGTTCGTGTCGCCGAGCATTGGGGCACATGAATCCAATTGCTCCAACCGCCATCTTGCCGGTGATCCAAGTGCTCTCTGGGTTAATTTGGAACTTGCGACGCGAATAAACCTCATAGGTCTGTTTTCTGTGGCTGATTAGTGTACACTTTTGGAACTTAAAGTGAGATAGATGTACGTTTGATATTTGTTTAAAGCGAGAAAGAGAGTTCCATGGTGGAATTATACAAGAGGTCTGTTTTTTATTGCCGCACTTTCTGAACTAGTACACACAGTGCAATAAGTTGAAGTGAAACAAATATACGTTTGTTTCACTTTACTCAACTTATTGCACTGGTTCAGAGTGCTGCAATAAAAAACAGACCTATTGTGTGTCGTTCCCGTGGTTGCGCAGTAGCCTAAAAGTAGTGGAGAGTGGACAACCAATCATGGGGGGCCCATTCGATTAAAATCCAATATGGTTGTGTTTATTTCGGGGCACTGCGTGTTATTATTAGCGTTTTCGATTGGGCAAAAGTTAATGTGCACCAGTGCGCACTCAGTTCACACCAACACTGGACGAGTTCCATGGGTTGCACTGAATAGTGCAAGTTCAAAAGAATACGCCAAGATTTTCAGTGCT